AGGAAAACTAAGCCCTCTCTGTATCAATGCAGCCATGATGGTCTGGGGGAAGGGGATGCAATCCCCAGGGCTGGCAGATGGTGGGCTAGATTTTAGTCATGCTCAACACCTCGGAACCAATTGAGTAGCTTTTTACTGCCATCTCTAAAGTAAGACCTTGAGCCCCAACTAGTGATAAAAGTAAGCTTTAAGCCTTTATCTAATTCTATTTGTGAGAAAAAGTAAACAATTTATTAAAAAGCATCCCTGGTGGCAACTTTCACTCCCAAGGACAGCGTTTTAACTCGGCAATTAAGCAAAAGATAGAAAAAGTGGAAACAAGAATGAAAAGTGTAGAATACAATACAATGTGGGGTTGGGAACACATTGGCAAATACAGATTCACTCTATTTTGATAGACTAATAATGGAATAGCAAACTTGAGATAGCTAAATATAAGATTATGCATGTGTGTGTCTCCTTAAGTAGACTTGAATATATGAGTAGCAGATGTGTTCCATTCATTTATTTATCTCCAAATCTAGTTTCGCCTCTGATATATGATATATTAACCTTTGGTGACAAGTACTAATAGAAAGATAAAAGATGATAGATGATGGATAAATGATGATAGATAGATAGATAGATAGTAGATAGATAGATAGATGATAGATAGATAGATAGATAGATAGATAGATAGATAGATAGATAGATAGATGATAGACAAATAGATGAGAGAGAGAGACAGAGATACAGTGAGCTTTGTACCTACCTCCAGGGGCAGGGGGAAGTGTTCAAGTCATGGGTTGATTATTGATTATGGAGTTCTATAAGTGATTCATAATTCCGTTGAAACATAAGTACTTTATGATAATTGGTGTTTTGAATTTCTAATTATTTTAGCAAATTATATTTTTATTTAGAATGATTTAGAACCAGTTTCAAGTAAAAATGGCTAACTTAGAAACTCTGTAATACAACCTGCAAAGCTTTTATTTACATTTCCCCAATTCATTTTATTCCCTCATTCAACAAACTTTTATTGTTTACTCTCTGTCACATACTACATTGACTCAAGGTCTTAGTCTAATAAATTTGACAAACAAGATCATATATTCAACACAGAAAATACTTTACAACAGTATGTGTCCACAGCATACCTTGTAAGGATAAAGGACAAGAAGTTAATTTATCTGGGGAGAGAGGGAAGGGGAAAGAATCCCTAAAAGAGACTAACACTCAAGTTGAATTGTGATTCATTGACAGTTATCCAAGTGAAGACAACTGTAGGGAGGAAGCCATTGCAGGATAATAGAACATGATCACACAAACTCGAAGAAGCCTGTAATTTAGCAGATTTGAATCGTCAGCCTACAAGAGTGTTGGAGTGGAGGGCTGGTCCTGAGTAGGGAGGCTGGCACCTAATTCTCCATAGATTTTCCATCATGTTAAGGACTTTGATGTTTACCTTGAGAATAACTGAGAATCCATAATAGACTTTAAAGTAGAGGGTTATGATGATAAGATTACTTTTTAAAAAATGTATTCCTGGTAGCAGTGGGGAGGATGAACTGCAGGAATGGGAAACTGGGGAAAGAGACACTAATTTATAACAGCAAGTCAGCAATTCAGATTATGGAGGAATAGGGCTAGAACCATATAGAGTATACAGGTGGGAAACTGTTGAGAAAAAAATTCAGGAACTAGAGCTTAACTGATTCATTGATTGATTTGATTTGAGGATAACACCCTGGCATCTGAATTGGATAACAAGGTTTGTTTTTGTTTTGTTTTGTTTTGTTTTTGCTTTTTTATAATAATGGCATTCACAGAGCTTAGAAACGCAGGGCAAAGAATAGGTTTTAGTGATACCTGAGCTTGAGTTTTGAATTCAAAATATTTGGAATATTTCCAGATTGAGTTATTCTTATGGACAATTTGATATAGATCTTCAATCATAATGAGAAAGAGAGAATGAGAAAGAGGTAATAGTTAAATTGTGGATGTGTTTCCTTACTGTTATTCACTGTGAGTCTTTTTGTTACTTGGCTGCAATTACTTGTTACTTTCTATGTCTAGGTTTTATTTATATTCCAATCCATTTATTTTCATAATAAACAAATGCTATAGCAATGCCTATAACTAGAAGACTAGAGATCTATTAAATAGTAGATAAGAGATAGTATTAGAATTATATAAAATTCCCATTTTATGGAACATACACTTGGATAGGATAAATATTTTATCTCCTGAACTTATGGACAAGCCATCACTCAATGCTCAAACCTATTTCCAGAGTAGGAAATTACACTGGCCTGACTCTTGATGCCAATAATATGAACTTGATTGATGGTCCTCTGAAAGCTCTATTGCCTGATTAATCCACCCTAATTTACCTGTCTGAGTACTCTGCTTACTGTTGATCTTCAGCACATCAGCCTCAATCACTTGATTCTGAATTTGGTGTTATCAGAACAGATTAACTAGTGTCTCATTATATATTCATTTTCAGTCGCAAACATATAATGAATGCCTAGACTATGTTAACAATATCTTATAAAAAATGAATTATCAGCCCTGGCTGGTTTTCTCAGTGGTTAGAGCATTGGCCCATGAACCAGAGAGACCGGGGTTCAGTTCCTGCTAAGGGCACATACCTGGGTTGCAGTTTGCCCCCGGCCCTGGTTGGGGTTGTCTGAGAGGCAACCAGTTGATGTGTCTCTCTCATGTCAATGTTTCTCTCTCTCTTTTCCTTCCACTCTCTCTCCTGCTCTATCTGAAGATAAATGCAAAAATGTCTTTGGGTGAGGATAAAAAAAATAAATTATCTAAATGAATTATTTGTATTCAGAATGGCTTTGACATGTTTAACCAATATTCATTTCTTAACCAGCCAGTGGTATCCATGAAAACAAATTGATTTATCTATCAAGTTGAGTTTCAATTCATCTTAACTGAGAAATTTTTTCCTCAGACTTTCCAATTTCTGTCATATACCTCACAATCAAACATGCCTAGTCATATCACTTAATGAAAGAAATACAGGAGAGCAACAGAATTGCAAAAAATAATAATAAATGAAATGATAGCATGAAAAAAAAAAAGAGAGAAGACACACAACCCACAAAAGGTGTCAACAATGAAATTAAAAAGACAAGTATCAAGGAAAACAGGAAGAAAAGAATAAGAACAAGAGGTAAGAGGTAAACAAGTAGGATGAGAGAAGATGACAAATAGAAGACAGAAAATCTGCATATTTTAAAGTCCAACACTTGGCTTGATTGTAAAAAGTGGAAGCTCTCTGCTCTGACAATCCTGTTCTGATAGATTGAACACAAACTGGGTCAGCAGTCCCCAGCAGATAGTCACATCTATTTTATCTTCAAAGATACTTTCAAACATTTTGCTTGGGGGAAAATCATCCGTTCCAATTCTAGTTCCCATTTCTGGAACATGTTATCTTAGAGCACTTAAAATGAAATAGTCTCCCTTACTATTTTTATTTTCTATTTGTCAAAAAACATAATGGTATACTCACTCTCTCACAACTATTTTTTTAGAAAACATTTAAAAATATGATTATTATGGCACATAATCAATAAAGTAAATGACCTAGATTTTCTCCCCTATTTCTCTACTTAAAATATAATTAAATATACATTATTTTGATATGGGAATATATATTTATGCTCAGTATTATTTAGGATTAACCAGTTGCTATGGTGAACATTAAGAAGTAGAATTTTCTCAGTCCAGTATCACCTGAACGTTGTTCTCCATTTGGAAGGACTCAGTTGAACTCTCGGTGCTACGATTTATTGCTAGGCTGATGTAACCATTTGCCATTTGCACATGCTGCAGTGACCCCTCTCTACCAGACATGTAGACTTTGATTAAGTGGCATGTACTGGGGCAGATACAAGTGGAAAAACTCTCTTGGGAAAAGTGTGGTGTTTCCTAGTTTTCTATTAGATAACTATATTCCTCAGTACACATAGAAACACTTGACTGAACAAAAATACAGAGATCATTAAAAATAAAGCAGAATCTGGAAGGACGTTGTGAAGACTTTCTAATTGTTCCTGGGTGATTTAGAAATAGGATACAAACATGACCACTAGAAAGGTATGCAGAAGGAAAAGCTATTTATTTAGGCTCCTTCCCACTTCCAGATTCTCAATTAAGAGTATATCTAGATACAGATTATGTTGATGTCATTATCCCAAGATGTTACATAGCGGATAGTAATTTATTAATTAATGTATACTAAAATTCGTATATATGTATATTACCTGCAACAATTGAAAATAAATATAATAAATTTGAGAATTTTAACATACAAAAATGTTACAAGGACTTACTGATTATTTGTCTCTTTGTCTACTAATAATTTTACAGTTCCTGGAAGAATACTATGTACTTTGCATAGTTTTGAGTTATTCTATCTTTGAATACAAGATTATTTTAACATAAATTTCCATGGTTTATTGGCTAGAGAGCAAGTTGTTCAGGAATTTTAGAAAACTCTGAGTATAAGCAACATTAGAACAAACAGAAAAACAAATGGATCTGTTATACTTATTCTGAAGGAGGGTATCATAGTTTAAGTACTGATAGAACTTGAAAGATATTTTGTAGGGCCACTGAGCTTCAACAATGTCTATGGATAGAAGAAACAGTATAAATCTGAAAACTATTGTTACTATACATTCCCTAAACAGTAAAACCAACTAAAAACAAAAGTTTATTTTACTTAAATATTTAACAAAAATTTATTGCAAGAGATATTTTTCACTGAATTTACAGTTTCAAGGAACATGGTACAAAACATAGTGCCATCAGCTTTGTCTAAACATTAAATAGGTGCAAATACACAAAGATTTAAAAAAAAAACAAGAGTATACTTTACAACATAAATTACAGTACTATAAATATATTTTATGTACATTTTACATACTCAAGACATAAATTTAATATACAGCATATATTGTATTGATTTTGAAACTATTCAGTGCCTTAATAATATTATATATCAGAAACTAAGAATTTATTTGCATCATTCAACTTACAGTAAATGATTTCATATCAAGGAGGCCATAGTTTGGCTAGTTTCTTCCCACCATTCAAATAGGCAACGATCCACATAGATGAGCTTTGACGCATACAGCAATAGTTTTCCCAGGACTATTTTCTTCCCCCTTTATGGTGGTGACTAGAAGAGGGGCTGCAGTGGGATGACCGTGGGGTGCGGGGAAAGCAGTGAAGGAAAGAGTGCATGGGGTAAAGGCGGGAAAGCCAGATGGCTAGGATGAAGAACTGAAGCCGGGATGATGGGCATCTGAGGAGGAGCAACAAAAGTTGGCGGATTCCCAGGACAAAGCCTCGCTCCTACTGGTCCTACTGAGAGTTGAGGTAACGATGTTCTGGTGAGAGCTGGGACGTGGGACAGAAAGTGTTGGTGTGGCTGAAGCACTTTGAAGGTTCCTGCGGCGGCGTGCTGCTGCAGGACGGTGTGGTGGATGGTGGTTACAGAGGTAGAGCGTAAGGGCTGCCGCACAGGCAAAGGCTGCAGAGGTGTGCTGGGGGGAGCGAGGGCAGCGGGGGGAAAGGTAAATTTGACCTTGTTGGCCAGCATGTTCGGCGGTATGATGTGCTGGTAGACCTCACAAGGGAGATGCTTGAATTTGTCATGATTTTCTATTGGGATCAATAATGCTTGTTCTGGTAAAGCCAATGGAGCCAGGATTTGCTCTGTTGTTACAAAGGTATGACCACTGACGTGTGCTTCTTTGAATGGTAATGGTGGTTGTGCGTTAAGAATTCCTGAATTAAAACGCAGCCACTCGGTTGATGCCTCATTCACCTTTCCTTGGGGAAGGGCTTCAGGCAGCTCATAGTGGCAAAGGTACGATTTAGGTTGTGACTGTCTTAAGTTCTTTTCCACGTTAGGCACCTTGGGAGGAATTTGCTTTTCACTAATATTTATATTCTTGCTTCTTTCTTTGTGTTCCAGCAAGGTATTGTCAGTTTCTTTTTCTGTGGCGGCACTAGCTAGAAAGACAGATGTAGTGGGTTCCTTGGAAATCCCTGGCAATGTTCCAGAAGTGGTCTCCAGCTCTAAATGCTCGGTTTCACCATTGGTTCCGGAAGGAAAGGAATTGCTAGGGGGTAAAGTCAGTTTGTTTTCTATTTGATCTGTTTGTTCTGAGTTTCTTTCGACATTTGCAATTTCTTGTGGTTTTATTTCCTCTATATTGTCTTCATTTGTCAACTCATCCTGGTGACATAAGGAAGAATTGCCTTTCCTGGGATCATCTGCAGTCTCTTTGAGTTCCAAAGCTTTAGATCTGGCATGGAATCCGCTTCTTTTTCTCCTCCGTTTCCTTTTAGGCTTAAAGGGAGATGAAGCACGTGGTGGCTCCCAAAATTCTTCTGGTAAATCATTCTGTCGATTCAAATTTTCATCTGAAGAATAAGAATGTGAATGTTGTCTACGTTTTTGATAAAATCTTTCTGATTCATTAATGAGAGAATTATAACCTCTCTTAACAGCCTGATTCGGAGGCATGTACTTCATGTCTTTTTGAAGAATGAAGCATCTGTGATCCTGACTACAGCTGGACATTTTGGCTTTACAACTACAGGAAGTTCGGGAGTGTGTTAAATTATGTTTCCCAGAATGCATCATTGTTGAATTGGATTGTCCATTTAAAACAATTGAGTTCTTTGTACAGTGATTTTTAGAACTGATATCATCATTATTGTTGTATTCAGTGTTCCACAATTTACACATTTCTTCATTTTCATGTAAGAACATAACTGCTGACTTGGGGTTTTTATCAGGTAATTGATGTGAGTCCAATAATTGCTCTACAGGTAAATCCTGCTTTTCTGAAACTGTTTCAAGTAGGTTTTTCCTAGTTATATCAGTGTAACTATTTTCTGTTTCCATTTTGAAGTGAGTTTTTGATTCTTTGGTTTTCTCCACATGGTGATGGTGACATAACTTTCTTCTTTTCTTCTTTCTTCTACTTTTGTGGAACCAATGTTCATGTGTCTCTTTCAACCTTGTTTTGTTGTATTTCTCATGAGTATTCTGTTTTACTTGCTTTTTAATAAAATTATGTCTTTTTGTTTTTCTGCTCCTACAGGAAATATTTTTATACTTAGGATTTATACTCTCATTTTTTCCAGAATCACAACTATTGGAGCGAGTATCTTCAGCCAACAGAGGAGTGACTTGAGTGGATTCATTTCTGCTACCTCCAATGTCATAACCTGTGAGTCCTGCAACAGATCTGTCCTTGCAATCCAAAACTGGTCTCTTGCAAATGTCTTCTCCCTTCTGTTGAGAATAAAGGTCATTTAAGGGCAGCTTGTTTTTATCTAGATTGTTGTTTGATTTAGCAGATTTAAAGTCGAAACAGAGAGGATTACAGCTATAGGAAACTGATGGTTGAGTAGCTGTGTAAATTAGCATTTCTGATGGCCACTGAAGAACTGTTGATCCATCTTTGTTAAGGACAGGTACAAATGGCTCACACGGTCTTTTATATACATCTGATTTTTTATGTAAGGTTATATTATCCTCTTCAGAATTTGAAGGGGCCAACATCTCAGGACCATAATTTTTATTTTCAACTTCAATTGTGGGTACATCATTCTCCTTAGCATTGTCTTCTGGGGTGGCTGGCAAAGATATGCAGTCATGAGCCCTTTCAACAACTGTGCATTTATTTCCTAACACCTCAGAACCGGTACTACTCATAGATAAGTTCTCATTAATAACAACATCTGTCAGTGGTCTTTGATCTGCTAATGGGACTGAATTTTGACCATTATTAGCATCAGATGATAAAGGGAGTTGAAACTGACAAAATGAAGGTAATACAAATGTATCTTTTTCACAAGAAACTTCCTTCATCTCTTGAGCTTGAGTAGTTTCTTTGTAAGTGCACATTCCCTCTGGTGGATGAAGAGAGTTTGCTTTCTCCTCAGGGCTCAAAAGCACATCTGTTGGTGAAGATAGTTGAAGATGACAAGTACCAGGGACAAATCTACTTTTTCTACTAAATCCTTTTTCCACAGAGGCGTCATCATTGTATTCAGAGAACGCTGCAGCTGAGGACTCCAGCTTCACAGATGCTTTCTTTGGAAATGCAAAAGAAAAGCCAATTTTGTGTCTGTGAATTCCCTGGGCTTGATCTCCAGGTTGATTATGTTTTGTATAATTATTTGCGCTTTCTGGATCTGCAGCAACAGTGGTAACATCTTTAGCATTCTCTTCACTATGAATCAAAGTATATTTGAAATCTTCTTGGTTATTAACTGAATCCACAACAACTCTTTGGGAAATCTCATTACAATTTTCTCTCACAGTAACAGTTGTTGACTTGAACATGGGACCACTTCCAGGAGCACTACAAAAAATAACAAAAAGGTATGTTAGATAGGACACTTTTGAAGGAAAATATTCAAACACATTCATCTTGGAAATGTCATTATAACATTTTTTCCAACTTTTAGAATTTTTGTGAAATAATTACTTTCTTATGGTACAGTTGCCTTCCACAGTGCCACAGTTTCATTTAGGTATTGGTTATTGTTTGGGAGAATTTGGAGGTACTGTTATGAAGTTACTTTTATAGCTATAAACAGCAATGATAAGGGTATTCCCAAGCTCTCAACAGTGCTTCTTGACCAAGTTTACCCTCATAACCTCTTCAGTGACATTTTGAAGTATTATAGAATTTTCTAAAATGAAATTACTTTTAATACTTAATTAGTAAATACTTAATTACTTTTAATACTTAACATCAGTGATACTATATGGAGAACATGGAGGAAATTTTTAAAAAATCCTTCATCATGACTTAGGAAAGGCTGAAAATTCACCAACATTTACTGAAAGTCTAACACAGTCCAGGTGGCATTCTATAATACAGAAATTACTAAGAGCTAATACTAATTCAACGAGAGCTTAGAGTTTTTTAGAATTGCTATTCTTGATATTGAAAAATTACCTTGAAGTTATAAATGATATACAATAAATAGATAAAATTAAAGAAAAGAGTATTGAATGAAAATGTGATTTTTATTTATTTGAAATTTCAGTATACCGAAAATGGTGAATTGTGATTAAAAGAATCATACTATCTAGCATATAAATAAGAAACTACTTAAATATTTTTACTCAAGCGGAATCATGCTGTGTAGAATTTTCCATGCTATTTAAACAGTCAGCTTCTTAGAAGTTGTAACTGGACAAACATTTTTAATAGCATAGTTTCTTTAATATTTAACACAATGAGCATTTCATTGTATTATTTGATATTGAAAAAAAAAAACAAAAAATACTTCTTAACTGCATGTCTTTAGAGAGACTGAATTAAAGGGGAAATCATGTGTGGATGTGTATATGGGTGTGTGTGTGTGTGTGTGTGTATAATATGAAATATGTACTGAGGAAAATAATTTAAATAAGAAGTATTTTTTATAAACATCCTATTACTAATTCTAGTTCTCTTAATATGTGAGAATTTACATTTACTAATGTTGCTTATAGGACATTAAATTATGTAGGTCTTATAGTGCTTCATCACAGCAATTTTCAATCTTTTATATCTCATGGCACACATAAACTAATTACTGAAAGTCTGTGGCACACTAAAAAATATTATAATTTTGGCTGATCTGACAAAAATAGGTATAATTTTTATTTATTCACAAAAAAATTAATAATAGTAATTACCTACCCTTTTTGCTCCAAAGTGACTTTTTAAAAAATCAGGTGCCTATACTTGATACAAGGATTCCTGGTACCAAGAACTAAGCAATCAGATGCATTCTTATGATGCGATGTGATCAATTAAATGCAACTCTGTTATATTACCTATACATGTAGGCATTCACGCCAGATGGCTATTATTGTGTTGGCGGTTGGCATTTTTTTTTTATTTGACAATCTAAGGAAAAAGAGGTCATTGCCCCTGACTAATTAAGTACTGCACATTTTAAAAATTCTTGCAGCACACAGGTGCCTCAGCATGACACACACAAATCACTGCTCTGTAACATAAAGTTGCACTTGTATAAGTTTTCACTTATTAGCACACAGAGTAGAGTAAAATATCTGGTCTCTATAATTGCATAGTAGTTTTATTTTAACTGTTCTATTTGTGATTCCAAATGCACTTAAATTTTATTTTGATTTTTTCCAAATTTGACATCCCAAGTAATGTTTTGATATATCAATATCCATTAACATTATTCTATACAAAAGGAATTTGATATAAGATAGCTTGGTTTTAGACAATAATAAGAGAGGCTTATTTATTGGGAGGAGGGAAAGACACTTTAAATGGAGTCTTCTTTCATACCATTGCCCTGGCATGAACTCTAAATTCTAAACAGTTAACACTATAGCTCCTGTCTGTTAGAAGCAGGTCCAAGTGTCACAGGGGTGAACTTCTGACAGCCCAGTTATAGTTCATTCACAGTGAAACTTTTTTGACTTGCCTCTGTACAGGGTCTTTCTGACCCTTGAAAAAATATTTGTAAAAATCATTTCAAAAATGTTCTTTAAATTCATAATTTAAAAATAGTCCTGTTAAATCTCTATTTATAACAAAAGTTATAAGATGATGCTTTTGTCTCTTCTTCAATCAACTGCTTTGAATTTCACCAAGAAATAGAATAGATTTCAACTAGATAGCTTAAATAGCAGAATAATGTCAAATTTATTTTTTTTACAAGATAAAATTATAGTAATGTTGGCTTTTTATGAAATGTGCATTAAACACACATTTGCATGAAATTCAATTTTCTCTTTAAAGCCCACAGAGAACCATGAAAATGTGAGCCTTCTTCTGAGTACAGGAGGAAATGAATCTGTGTCCTTTTTTTTCTACTTTTTTTATTGTTGAAAACTTAATATTTCATTGCACACTCACCATACAGTTTCTTTTCTTAATTCGGCCAGCTTGTGCAGGCGTTGGAGAGCCTTTTCTTGTTTTTTTTCTTCTTTCCTGGATTTAGATGCTACATTTCGAGCAAATTCCCTTTGTTTCAGTTCTTTGAGCCTCTGTAAAAAAAAAAAAAAAAAAAAAAAAAAAAGATGGAAATGATTAATATTATTTGGGTCTACGGCAATGTTAAATTTACTATCTATTTTATTGTTGAATTTTTCCAACACATCGTTTTGTTTAACTTTATCTAAGGAAAAGAGAACATCTGTGACAACCCACTTCAACAAAAATATTTCCTCACCCTTTTGGCTTGTGAAAATGCCTAAATATTATCACATTATATTAAAAGATATACCTATGCCTTAGGTAAATGGGAATTGAAAACTTTCATCTCTGCTTCTTGATTGTTTCCTGCCAAGGTTCTCTGCCCAATTCAGATCAACTGTTGGGGTCTTGTAAACCCCTAATTTTTCAATGAAATTAACTTGTGTATTTGAATAATATATATTATAGCCATCTTGTAGTTTTTATATTTTCTAAGAGGAGTATATGTCTTTTTTAATCCATAAGATAAATGGCCTTTACTAATGTGATTTAAAACAATCTCTCTCCTCAAATATTAGGCATATTTCTCAAATAATTCAAGATATGAGAAGAAAATAAATGATGTTTTGTGTAAATTCTTTTTACATTAGGTGTATTTTTTATCTGTATTAATGGGCTTATTTTCAGGGTTGAAGGCTAGAAAAAGAGAATGTTAGCTTGACCAGAATTGATAAAGAGGCAGGCATGTGAGGTTATTTAAGAGACACCAAAGCGATCTTATGCCCCAAATATTTCACAGACACAGTGCATAGTTATTAAAAATGATTAAAGTACTATATTTTCTTATGCAGGCTCATGTTGTTATGCAGTTGTGACATGGTGGAGTCTCAGATTAAGACTCTAAGATAATAAAACCTACACTAATCACATTTTAATGAAGTGATTTGACAAAGTTTTAATAAATAACTTATACATATATACTGATATATACCAAGATTAAGAATATTGCTTGATAAATAAAATGACTACTTAATAAATATTTGTCGATTTATATGTGAATCACTGTAGATACTTCAAATTAGGAATTTCCCCCCTCAAGGAAATACAGTAATACTAATGAAATAATATTAGACACCTGGTAATCCTGAATTGTATCTGCTTAGCTGCAAATAAACTTTAATATTTAATTGATGGGCTTTCAATAAAATGTGTATAATTATTTTTAAATATTTTAAAAAATAATTATTTTAAAAATGCAAAGATATTTTGAGAGTGCATGTTTGCAATGACATATCTGTGAAGAAGGGGTTTACTCAGAGTTGAGTTGAATTCAGATTAAAAAAAAGACCATGTTATAAATATTTAAATTTTACAAGTATTTCATAGAAAGTAAAACTTTGATGTCATTACTTTGATAAAATTAAAAGTAGCTATAATTTTTAAATCTGCATTGCATTATTTATTGATTACAAAAAGATAAAGAATCAGAGTGTAAGAAGGAAAGAATGCCTTGTTTCCAAATGTTAGTATTCATAGTTTTGGTGGTCACTATTTTCTAAATTCTTACACTATATGAAGACTCACTGAAAAGACAATTATCGAACATTGGCAATAATAGTCAGTTAAATGGTTAATATTAAAAAAAACACGTTTTTACCTTTATAAGGTTATGTCTGTATGTCTGGGAAAGTGTGTGTAAGTGTATATGAAATTTGGGGAATAGGGAGAGAACACACACAGGAAGAAATAAGAGCAATCATTGGCTGAGGTATTCCTATTGTACCATACAGAGACTATGGGGTGCCCAACAAATCCCAGGGAAGGCTGCCTGGGAAAAGGACATCTGATATGGGCCTTGAAGGATATAAAAGTACATGAAGAATCAAGGTCCGATGTTGTGGGTGTAGAATATTTCAATGTAAATAAACAATTTTGTATAAGTATAGCAATCAGAGCAAACATAATCTTAAAAAATGACACTGCATGTAAAGAAGTATGGCAGAACAGAGTACAAGTGTGGGAGAGATGAGGATTGATGAATTACAGTGTCCACCCCATCACGGGGCCCTTATCATATGAAATGCAACTGGAGGAAACATTGAAGGACTTTAAACAGTAAAATGCCATAATAGAATTTTCATTTTATCAAGATTCATTTGGCATCAATATGCATAAAGTTTTACCCTGGAGCAAAATGAAAAACAAGGAGACAAATAAATAAAATACTACAATGATCCAAGTAAGGAACATAAGAGTTTTTCTAAGGCAGTTGCAGTAGGGAGTAAAGTAGAATTGGTGACCTATTTGATGTGCACGATCAAGTGACCTAAAGGAAATGCATTTTCTTTACTGAGAAGTACTACCTGCCATTCTAAGAAAGAGATGTTCAATCACATGTTGTTTGGGTGCTAGATGGAGGATGCTAACAGAGAATCTGAAAGTCAACAGAAGCTAAGTTTTCTAAAATATTTAAATAAATTAAAACGCCAAGCAAAATAAAAATAAAGTTACAATACCAAAGAAAGAGTCAATGTTCAAATTTTTTTTTTAATTCTTGCCCTGGCTGGGCTGCTTAGTTTATTGGAGTGTTGTCCCATGCACCAAACAGGATGCGGGTTTGATCCCCAGTCAGGGCACATATGGGAGGCAGCTAATTGATGTTTCTCTCACATAGATGTTTCTCTCTCTCTCGACCCCTCCTTCCTCTCTCTCTAAAATCAAACATATTCTTGGGTGAGAAATAAAATAAATTTAAAAATTGTTATTTATAAATAGTGATATTTTAACAAGTATAGATAAGTTTATTTCCTACTAAGTCTTTTGGGAAACTAGAGACAACAAACAGGAAAGACAGACTTACTGTTTTGAATAAAATCTTTAGAACACAAGTTAATTTTATATTATATATACAATTTCCATTGTATACACATACATATACATATACATGTATATATATAAAGTGTATGTGTATATATATATATATATATATATAAATAAAGTTAAAAGTTCAATGCTTCTAACAAAATCAAAGTTTCTTTTCTAAAGCAAGTATATGAAATGCCAAGAATTTCACTATTTACAGTTTGTTAAAATTTGAATTAATTGCCCTGGCCAGTTTTTCTCTGTGGTTAGAGTATTGGCCGGTGGACCAGAGAGTCCTGGGTTCAGTTCCCACTAAGGGCACGTACCTGGGTTGTAGTTGGTCCCCAGCCCTGGTTGGGGTCTTGTGGGTGGCAACCAGTCGATGTGTCTCTCTCACATCGATGTTTCTCTCTCTCTCTTCTTCCCTGTCTCCCTCCCACTCTATCTGAAGATGAATGCAAAAATGTCCTTGGGTGAGGATAAAAAAAAAAATTAAAGTAATCCATTTCCATTTCCATAGTAGTTAATTATCAAGTAGTCTGTCAGTTATCAAATGCCAGTGCTGTTGTCTTATCTGTGATACCTGTGATATAACTGATGTATTGACATGGTTGAACTTAGCCTCTTAAGGATTCAGAATGTAAATGTTTTAATGTTATAGAGATTGTCAAGAAGCACCAAACTATATTCAAGTGCTCTATTGATCTCAGTCTCCCTCTTTCATAATTCTATCCCCATGACAGACTTCCTGGTATCAAACTAAAGAAGCTTGCCTAATATTTAGGGACTGTTCAGCTATAGAATTTATAGGCCTGTCCAAAAACTGTGGTTAGTTTTAGGCTAGAATTTATCAGTTTTTATCTCCTTTCAGGTATTGTTCTGCAGAAAAAATAAAGTCCTAGATCTTATTTTGTGTCTAGTAGAGTAATTTTGAAAAGTAAATAGTAGAAACCAAGTAAATTCTTTTGAGAGTGCCAAACAGAAAGAAAACTTAAGTTCCACGTAAATAAATATACAAGTTAATAGCTGCGAGGCTTATGGAAATGTCAATGCTCCTTCAAAAGCTCCCTCAATAGTTTATTGAGAATCATTCAAAAGAAATTCTTAGAGATAAATGTCAAGACAGAAACAGCAGTCAGTAAGAATTAGAAAATTAGAGTGTTATAAGGAATTTGTAGATGGATGTGTTCTAGCTATTGTATGACAAAGCAAATTATAATGTATACTGGCATCTAATTTATTTTATATGCACATAGAGAATGGAAAAATGTAAAGAATCAATATTCTTTGGTTATGATATCATCTCAGAGGGCCTACTATACTTTCCCACTGACTTTTTTCTGTTGTTCTACAGAGAACAAAAATGTCACTAGGGCAACACAGGTCATTACTTCTCAAATATGGTGTCAGGAAATCCATGGTGTTGGATTGATGGAAAAGTTATAATGACCCTGGCTTCAGATTAAACTGGCAAAGGTTTAATTAGTGTAAGAAGACGGGTGGAGAGTGAGAGAGAAAGAAAGGGAGAGAGACTCATTTAGATAATTTATTAGTTTCTGCTTAAACATTTAGGTAAATTACATTGTTTTACAACTGCAAACCAAAGCTTTCACGAACATTCTTATACTTAATTATATCCAAAAGATAGGTTCCTATAAGCAGAATTGCTGGAATAAATGTGTACTTTTTGAGGTTTTCCAAACTGCAATTCATGACTTTCCACCATTTTAAACTCTTCCCAGCAGTATATGAGAGTACATACCATATCCAGTGTTGTGTAGTATCACTGTTGATATGTTTAACTGACGGTCAATAAGTGATGTGTCATTAATTTTCCTTTAATTCATGTGTTTACCAAGAAAGATAGAATATTTTACATGTATATTAGCCATCTGTATTTCATTATTTAGAACTGATATTGTTCAATAAAATTTATTAAGCAATATTATATACATTACTTTTATTTGAAAAATAAAATATGAGCAGACAAGGCTAGCATTATTTCCTTATTTAGAGAAGACAAAACTGAAGCTAAGCAAATTTTAGAGACTTGTCCAGAGTCACATACAAGTGGCAGAACCAGACTGGGTCCTTATTCATGGGCTCAGTAACATGGACATTCACTCACCAAGGATGACCTGGCTATAGCTCCCACTGAGTGCCCAATCTTCCAGCAACAGAAATCAACACCAAGTCCCCTAATACGGCA